TAAGCCTCAATACGATGCCTTACTACCGTGAAACCGCAGACTGAGGAGGATTGTTTGAAAGAGTGAAACGGTTCAAGTGGTGAAAGAGATCTATTGCTGTTTTCTTTACCCTTTATATTTAAATACTTTATATCTACACCAGGAGAGGGTCCTGCATGATATCTGTGTGGAGGAGTGATTAATCTCACCGTGGTCAGATACGACCATCAGGTTGACACAGTGGTGCAGGCTTCTCTCCGTCAGGCCGTCCATCAGCATTGCCAATATCCTGTCCACACGCTCCAAGGCCAAAAGGACCTGAACAGCACGACAGAGTTAATGTGTCACTGTGGCAGCAGAGCAGTGTTCAGACGTCTGGTTCGTCCGGCATGTACGAATATCACGTTCCAGCAAAGAAATACTACGATCTGGCAGCACTGCTGATAATACAGACTTTTATGAATGGGGTTTGGTTTATAATTTGTAGACACTACATGAAAAAATGGTTCAATGTGAGATAAAAAATGATTCAGTAAGATAGATGTGTCTTTAAATTGTTAATAAGATATTCAGAGCTGGAAATAGTATTCCACTAATTGATTAGCTGATCAAGAGAAAGGTTAATTGGTTTGTTATTTTTCTTGATTTTAACCAGCTAAAAAGCTAAAAATGATCCAGAAGCTGCTTCTCAGATGTGAAGATTTGCTTCTGGTCTTTGCCTTAAGGGACAAAACAAGCAGTTTGATGACTTCACTGCATAAAAACATTAGATAAAAAGGACTAGAATAAGAAAATCCTCAGCTGAGCTTCTTTTGTCAAACTACAATGTCAAAGGTCCGGAACTAATCTATTGAGTTTCCTTCAGACTCTGACTCTGTTCTGTCTGGGCTGCTGGTCGTTAGATAATGAACAATCAGCTTAAAGTTGCAGGTTTACTGACTGACCTCTTTGCTTCCTGGCCCATGAGCATGTCCTGATGCGTCAGGTTCTTCCAGGTACAAAGTGTAGAAGTCGGGTCTAAAATCAAACAAGGATTCAACAGTTCAGTGCAGTGAACAGTGCTTTTCCAGCGGTGACCCTTTGTGAATGAAAATAAAAATCATGTTTTACCTTTGTCCCTCAGGTAAACTGAGCCAATCAAACAGCGTCCTCACTCTGTCCTCAAACGAAATGGTCCTGTGCACCGAACCATGTGATTAATAAACAAATGAATACCACGCCATTACATTTCTTCTTCATTTAAACGTATGGAACAGAACAGCATCGCTCTTACATGTCATATTTGTTGTAGAAATTTGGGAAAGTGCCGTTGATCGAAACGTCTGAGCCCGGCCAGAAGAAAGTTCCTGTTTTCAGTTTGTGATTCATAGCAGTTATCCAGACCTTTGGAGAGGAAGAGGAGAAGGAAGAGGAGAGGGGATGGAGAGGAAGAGGAGAAGAGAAGGAAGAAGAGCAAAGGGAATGGATGGAAAGGAAAACAAAGGAAATGAACAGCAAGGAAAGGAGAGGAGAAAGAAAAGAAAATAATAAATAGTCTCATGATTAATTCAGAGACATAAACTGAACTCATTCATTCATCACAGTTGAAGTGTTTAGTCTATTAGGTAAATATTATCCCTCACAGCCCGGGCAGGTCTAATGGAAATCTAACTGTATAATTTTATTATTAAATAATAACTAGTCGACTGATCAGACGCGACTTATTCATGCAGCAGGTTTAAATGCACATTGTGGCAGATGCACTTAGTTGTTTTAGATCAAGTGTTATTATGAAAGAATGAATTTCTGCAGAATAAAATCACTCAGCTGGAATCATTTATTTCTCCTTCCTCCTGGAAACACGTTTTAGACGAGTGCATGGTGCATTTTCAAGAGGAGAAGCCTGTCACGCTGTGGAGGAATGAGATTTAAGAGGCCTCCCGTTTAAATGGAAACCACGAAGCATCTAAAGAAGCACGACTCGCAGCCCTCACAGGCTGTCACTCAACACCGCACCATCCGTAATTATATCGAGAAGCTCATTACCGGGAGAGATGATTCTTAGTTATGAAACTCGATCGCCGAAACAAAACAAGTGTCTCCTGCCGACAAATTACAGCCTGATATTTCATTACGAAGTTTTTTTTTACTTATTCACACAGATTCACGTACCGGCTCCCCTTGGTACCACTTAGGGTTGAATTTCTCTTTACTTTTCAGGCTGAAGAGAGCGTCGTGGGTCACATCGTACATCTTGTTGTCCACGATCCCGTGAGACTCGGGATAAAGACCCTGCAGGAGTCAAGACGTAAAACAAACACACAGTCAGGGTGAGCTGCTTTGATACTGTGATTACCTCCTCCTCTCCAATCCGCTCAAACTAAATATCACTGGGAGCCGCAGCAGTTTATTTTAATTGCAGGCTCCGTTCTCCACCAACAGAGGTGAACTCCACTCTCTAACCCCTTTAGTTTTGCTGTGGTTCACTTCACGAGCACATGTGAGCCATTAGGCCTCGACAGCAGCTTTCTGTGCCGTCGTGAAGAAAAGCCACCACCTATAAACTGTAGGCTACTAACAGCAGTGGTGGAAAGTAAAAAGTGCATTTATTCAAGTACCATTTGAGGTATTTAACAATGTTTTTTGAACTATCACTTTCAAGGTTAGACCAAAAAAGAAAAAGATACTATTAGAATTACAAATTAGTTCCAATGAAATTAGTTACTACCCGAAGCCTCCAAGCCCGAGGTTGAAAACTGGGTTAGACTCATTTCAGATGTCTTTGAATATTTAGCAGCTTTACAAAAAGTTTGTCCCTCTCAACTTTTCAGGTGGCTTCATTTAAATAAATGTCCAACAGCTAAAATAATCCAAAATTTCACATGCAAAATATCAATGTCAATGTCCGGTCCTTGTTTTTTCTCTCTTTCTTCTCCCGCTAATCGTCTCATGACCACTCAGATTAATCTTGTAATCCGCCCCCAAAGTCAGCGACCACAGGGAAAATCTACTGAACTGAATATAATCCTTAAAACCAACTCATTCAGCTGCAAAATCAGTGACACTCAGTGGAGCAACCACCTCAGCCAAGCTCGGAAAACATATGATTCTTATGGTACAAATATAAAACCTAAATGATTCCTTCGAATTTAAACATGGCCCTAAACAGTGGAACTGAAAACCAGCATAATTTATATTTTACTCTTCACTACGAGAAATTGGAAAATATGGATAAAACCCGATCATAAATATCAACCCACTAAATTTAAATCATGAACTTATCATCTATGTCTAAAAATATTAACAGAAATGTTGTAATAGTACCTATACTCTATATAATGTAGTATATCATTCACAGGGTCCATGTGTCTGCAGAAGTAAAACTTTTTACTTTATATTGTTGAAAACACTCGTACTTGAATTGATGGAATACTTTACATCACTGTTGTGGTTCCTCTACAATGAGTTTTGTTCCTTCACCACTGACAAAACAAGTTTAACAGTTTGTCCATTTGTTTGCAATTAGTGTGAAACCTCAGAAGAAAGAAAAGTAACTTACAGTCACAATGCTGTAGTGGTTTGGAAAAGTCTTAGTGGGATAAACGGGCCTCATGTACGGTGTTGTGGTTCCAATTTTTCCTGCAACACAATAAGATTCAGTCAAACCGGGACGCCTGGTAAACCAGAGCTGTGGAGTCAACGCTGTCTGCGACTTACGTAACTTGCTGATAATGGGGAGGTGGCTGCCGTGATCTTTCAGATACTCGGCTCGGAAACCGTCCAAGGACAAGAGGATGAGAGGAGACCTGGAGAAGCTGTGAGGGAGGACAAGAGAGAGAGAGAGGGGAGTTTAAAGTGCTTTTAATGGAGGAGACATGTGGGGGGAGGTTATGAATGAGAATCACTGAGCGGGACACACGAGAATCTCTGGCAGCGAGGAGGTAGTTCTGTACAGTAGATCTGTGTGTGAGGGAATACAAAGCAGCTCTGTGACTGAGAGGTGAAGAGCAGAGACCACACACACACACACACACACACACACAGACAGACACACAGACAGACACACACTCACACACACACACACACACACACGCTCACACAGACACTGACACTGACGCACACTAGAAGAAGAGAAGTGTGACTGATGATGAATCTGAGACTCCTCCGACCATCAGCAGATTGCAGGTCACAGGGAATACGAATCATGTTTCACTTCCTTTTCAGGTAACACAATTGTAACATCAGTTTTATTTCTCACTGGAGAACTTTGGATGTGACTTTATAAACAGTAGGTTTTCCAAAAATCTTTATTTTTTATTTCCTGGGAAAGATGCAGCTGCACCTTTTTAATTCTGTGCTCGAGGGCAGACTGTCACTGCCTCCATAATTATGGGCTCCATCACATTCAACTCATACTTTATTTCTTCTTTAATACTGAGGCACTGAGCAGTTCTACATGTTGTTTTGAATTAAACCTGGACACAACATGTATTATGTTCACAAAACAACATTTTATATGATCATATTTCTAGTAAAAAGGTTTTATTTGTTCAGCAAACACAGAAAAATGTTAGAATTCATTTCATACAACTTTCTGAGAATAATTTCAGACTCTAGCAGTTAAATACTGATGTTTACCAGATAGTTGCTCATTTTCAATAGAAATACTAATTGGTGAAGCTTTAACGCTCCCAAGAGGAATAAGGAGAACAAGTGTCATATAAAGCATTCCTTTAGTTGGATTATAAAAACAGGAGTTAATTTAAAGAAAGAAACTAAATAATGAATCCATAAACAAATGCATTAATTGTATTCATCAAAACTGCATCAATACGTCCAAGAGAATGAGAGACTTTTTAAGAATAGCTTCATCTGGAGCCACAGGTTTTCTTTTCCATAGTCTAATGTGTGTGTTTGGGTTCCTCCCTTCCCGAAAGCAGAAACACACACACGAGACCACACTCACCAACATGTCTGATTACTCACAGCCATTAGCTCAGTTTCCATAGAGACGCTTACTTTTTTCCACTAAACATTGTAAAAACAAAAAAATTAGTGTCATGTGTTATTTAAGCACTTCTCACTATTTGTTCTGTGTTGTCACAGTTTATTTTCCACAATTGTAACGAAGGCTCATTTCAGGATAACCGTGGGATGAATAATTTCATTTTGAGTAGAAAAACAGGATATCACACACAAAGGACTATGGGAACTGGTGGGATCCAAACAAGGCCTGCTGAGAATTGAGGTATTTTCCTTTGGAAAACCACATCAGATTCCAGATTACAAGTTTTAAACAAGAGTATTGTGTTACCCAGGTGGACACTGTAGCTGTGGAATTTCGTCAGAGAACGTCTGCAGCCAGAATTCCCCGTCTGCAGGAGAAGAGAAGTGTTGTCAGTGGCTTTTAGGATGAATATTGTGTTTCTCTGCACAGTGCTGATGCCAACAAAAACACAACTACGTAAGAATAGAAACATCTAAATGACTCAGCCTAGTTGTAGATGTTAACTAAACATTGAGTTAGGCAGTCACTTGTAATGAAACATGAAAGAAGTCTCATCTGATGCTATAAAAACATTTGGACCCATCGGCAAAAACCTCAAAAGTGCAAGAAGGCAGCTCCTATATCAGGAATAGTCTTCATTTGTACGATGAGAGGAATTAGAGATGCGTTGTCCGTCTTTATAAAGTCTACAAATTAGTTTAAGTAGGTATATCCACTAAAAAAGGTCAAAGGTCAAAGGTCACAGGCCCTCAAACATTTGTAACACTCTTTCAGGTTTAAAATGCGTGACAACTTCTACAACATCAAATCTCCACATCTGGGTGTTTGATATTGGACTAAATGGGATTGATGAAATATTTGAGTGGCTTGAAGCAAGATGTGAACGTATCCGCATACTCATGAGTTGGCTGAAGACGGACAGAGGAAGAATGTTAGCGACGTTTCCGTGAGCACAACAGATCTGTGAACCACATGAACGTGTCACGAGATAAGGCTAGGACAAAAAAACCCTCGATGAATAAACAGAAAACACTCAGACGTGATTTTTTTTAACATCAGGTTTTGTGCTGGACAACATGAGAACAGAGAACAGCTGGACTTTGTTCTCATGGAAACAAAACAGGGAGAAAAATATTGGTTTTCGAAAAGTGGTGTGATTGTTTAACCTGACCACCACATTTATATGTATCATGTACTTTAAACAGGGAGACACCGCCGCCTCACACTCATGCATGTGTATGTGTTTGTGTGTGTGTGTAATAAATCAGACAGTAAAACAGTCTTCAACATGTTCACATTTTTTTGGGCCAAACAGGGAATTCAATGAGAAGTAACAGCAATACTGATAAATACTGTCTGTTATGATGACTGTCTTAGCTTCGTTTTCATCTCCACCAACTCCTGAGGGACATATATACTGTATATAATGTTATTTAAGCTAAATTCTACAATTTGTTCACAAGCTTCAGCAGTTTTGTCGAACACACAGATAATCTCGGCAGCTGTCAGCCAACACTGGCAGCAGGAACCTGTGTGCAGAGGTCTCTTTCAGGCCAGTGAAATAGATGAATATTGGGCCAAAACAAACAAATATGTTGCCACAATAATTTGACTATCTGATGGTGATTGAAGTGAGATGAGGTGAGATTTACCTAAAACAGTAAAAATGCAAAATCAAAAAGACTAAAATTAGCTAAACGACACAAAAACCTGTTCTGCAGTATCTGCTGAAGCCTTTTGACTGAAAGTCACCATGTGCATTACTACTCTCTGGTGTTCACTGTGACTATAATAAATAGAATGTATCCTCTATTGGAAGCTCTGACGCAGCTCCTGGACCATTTTGAATCAACTGTGTCTTTTACAAAAAGGACTTTCCCACAGACAAGGTGACTTCAACAGAGGAGCTCTGGGCCTTCCACCGTCCAGCAGCTTCCTCCCCAGCACATCTGTCAAGTCTGCTGCTGACTGGACACATGAGGGAGTCTTAGCATGTTGCTGAGAAAGCCCCTCCTCACCGCCTCTCGAGGCCAGCGGTGCGGTTTGGCCCGAGCAGAGGGATGCTCCGTCTCAGGAGACAAGTCGCTGTGGTCTGTAATCCACAGGAAAACCCGCTCTCAGCATTTTACACCACTCGCTGTCAGACTCCAGGGAGAGGTCGAGGTCTCCTGGGTTATTTTTATTTCTTTATTCTGCCTCCAAAGACCTTCCAGAGAAAGATTATGAAAGATGGGGAAGTTCCAAAGCTCAGTAGATGTGATAAACGACGAGCTTGGGTGAGCTCAAAATGTCTTCTTCCCATACGGCTTTCATGTCAGCCTGCAAGGAAATATAACTTAAAGGGGGGAAATGCCGCAGCAGCAGAGAGAGAGGGCCCCACCCAGGCGGGGGACAGCTGCCCACACTCACCACGGCTGCCCTGGAGGGGTGTTATGGCACCGCGGTTTGCAACAAAGAGCACACTGAGATGCCACTGCCCACATCTAACCAGAGGGAATCTATAGCTGCAGAGATCACGCCAACCCGGGGTGAACATTCCTGCCTCACTTAAAATCTGTGCTCATGACGTATTTTGGAACAGCAAGAAAAAAAAGCACCACCCTCAGAGAAACATGTGAACAAATCATATTCACTCTCACATTGACCCCTTCTTCTCTTTAGCTCCTCCGTCTCTGCTGCTCTGCATACTCCCATGTTAAGAGTTTCTGAAAGACGTCAACAGGCCGCACGTAGATAGATTTTCCAGTTGCCCAAACAGCAGGTTTGAAGCCTCACAGTGGCAACCTGTGGACTTGTTTGTACCTTGACCCACCGAAAATGTAAAGTATGCATTTTCACGAGCCTCCCCTGAACCCTAACCCTAATCGGAGGTGGTTATTTCTGTCCGTCTCGCCGCTGCAGCCGAGGTATCTTCATTCTCTGTCAACAGTGAGTTGAAAACCAAACCTCACAAAACAATAAATCAAATGCGGTATCACTGATATTTACACGAGGGAAAGGATGAGCAGTTATTTTGGAATCCTTGTGTGGACTGTTCTGTCACAGTGAAACAAAATGAAATATGATATTGTGTACTGTGTGTGTGTGTGTGTAGGCAGAACCGGGGTTTGTTTTCCTGTAACAGGTTTTTGAACTTAAAGCGCCTGTTTTTGTGTTTATACATATTTTTTTTTAAAGTTAGCTCAATAGCATATAGTTGTTTGTGTAGAAAAATAGCAGTGAGAACTTAGTTATTGAGTATTTGAAGGTTGGCTGCAGTTTTCCTTCTTTCCTTCATCTCTATTGAGGAAGGCACCAAAAATCAGAAATAACAATAACAACGAACATGATTTAAATAGCAGTTAAATTAAAAGAACAGCAATCAAAACAAGAGAGACAGTCAGAACACATGTCAAACATTCGTTGATGCTTTGCCATAAAAAAAACGTTTTAAGAAGAGATCTGGGAACAACCGTCCGAGCTCCATTCACAGATCTACTGCAGACAAGCTGGAAGTATAGTTTTCCACCACTAGTGGAGCAGTGGAGCCATGTTCTGAGGAGTGGGTCACTGAGTATTTAGAGCACGTCAACAAGGACACGAGAGCAAACTGTTGACATGATACACAGTCCTAAGGCAGCATCTCCCAAGGAAGTCGAAAAGAATGTTTACAAAAATACTCCGCAGGGAAACTTTAGCTGTACTTTAACACAAGAGAGGAGACAGGAATCCAAAGGAGAGGACACGTAACAAAGGCCGAGTCTCACTTCGTTACCTTTCCGTGTCCTGATTCCTGCGCTGGGACTCTTCGATAGAAAACACTGAATTAGTGAGTAAAGAGACAACAACGCTCACCTCTCTCTTCATCGGGGTATCTCAGACAAAGGGCCAAAGCCAGGATTAACACCAGGAGGCACAGCAGCAGAACCTGAAGTCCAGAGAACAAATGCAAACACATATATATATATTTAGGTTATAAACTAAAATCACATACAGTCAACAAACAAACTGGCTCTGGTGAGTGGAAGGCAAACACAACAAGAGAAAAGAAACTCCACAATTATAACATTAAAAAAACTCACAACATGTTTATACTGCGGTGGAAATGTCTTTAATTGAAGTGTATTATTCTGGCTCTGCAGACACACTGTAGTGTCAGCTACATGCCTTTCAAACCGAGATATAAACTGCAACAGACTGCTGGCTCCACGGGAGGAGCAATAAATCAAGACATATTCTGGAGAACTGTACAGACCTGCTGCAAACAGCACGACAGAATGAGAGCTGTGAATACAAAGTGTTTTATGACAGAGTGGTTTGGTCGGTGCACCACTTTGGTCCAAATCCAAACGACTCCAGTGATTCCTCAGGGTTTTCCTCTTGACATTGACATTATTGGTTTTTAGCGATCAGGTGGACTGGCTCCAAACGGCTGAACATAAATATGTGGGAAACATGGATCAGCAGAATATTATAGAAGCTTCAAGAGAGAAGAAGATTCACAGAATGAGATTCACACATTTCAAAGTTCCCATTTTGACATTTGAAGCGGCGGGCTCTTCCGTCCAGCGACAAAATGTCAGTATGACTATAAAATTCTTTTAAAGGAGCTTTATACAGATCTTCAGATTCATTGTCCTGAGAGGATGATCTCCGAGTTTTCAAAATCGACAACTAGCAGATGAATTTGAAAAGATGATCCGTAAAAAAAAAAGGCTCCTGTTAAAAGAAGCTGATCCCTGAGTTTTTCATTCAACGTCAGCTCGTCGGATAAAACACATTAAAAACTTTGAGATCAATTATCATGAAGGTTTCTACACACATTCATGATCCCCTGAGGAGGATTTTGCAGTAACTCGGTGATCACGTGACTTTTCATTTAGCGCCACCATCAGGTCAAAATTGTGCCTCAACCAATACTTCTGGTTTTATGACCAAATAAAAACAAACGCTGTCGTCAGTGTTTAGCTCGAAGCTCTGCTGCGCTGGTAAAACCTCTCAGAGCTGCCAACGTGGCTGAAAACCCCTAATCTTAGAATTCTGTTTCTTTCATTCATTCTTTTTTTTCTTTTTTATGTCTCAATTCAAGAACCTATATTTATTCTTCAAACTCCAATTATCTCCATTGCAGCATTGGCCCGACCCTTGGTCTCCTGTAGGTGGAGAGTTAACCAAGGACAGAGGCAGAACTATCTAGTAATCTGCTGCTCATATCTGCTGCAGACTGGAGGGTGAACGTTTGTAATCACAGGGGCGTTAGAGAGGGGGGTTATTTAGTGCTGCTTATTTTGAAGCCTCCACAACAGCCCACACCAGGCCTGCACTGGTTCTAATGGTCGTTTATTATCATGGAGTTTAAGAGTTGGTTTGAGACCTTGATTTAAAAAGAGCTGCAGCAGTTTTAACATCCTGTTTTTCAGCCCGGGACTTCTTCACTTATCTGTTGTTTATCCCTTGAAGCGATAGACTGTGTATAAAGATGGACGATGCTCCAAATGCAAAGATGGCAGCGTTGGTGTCGGGGGTGTTTTGGCTTCGTTTCTGAAGCGTCATCCATATCGCCACGACTTATCTTGGGATCCAACTTGAAAGCAAGAGTTTCAGTAAGAATTAAGTCGCTCTGCTAAAGATATTACATCATTATTATTTGTGTCCATGTTGTAGCTGCTGCCGTAAAATCTAATCGACTAAAACAAGACATAAGATTTTATACAACTTTCACCTTATTCCTCTTTTTTGTCTTTATCTTCTCACCACGCTTGAAATGTATTGTTTGTGTGGAAATAGAAACTATTTTTCCTCAGTTCTGTTCTCAAGATCCAACAAATACTCCATGATTGGGAGTTTTTCAAACATGTTGACGTACACATGTGTCACATTAAGTTGTGGGTGATATTTTTTTTTCTGCAATTTGAAGACAAATAAAATCTCCAGACTCAACAGCAGATCAGACACATTCACGCTGCAGTCATCCATGCCCTCTGTAATTACTGCACACTAGAGTGTGGTGGTGTAGTGTGTGTAGAAAAACATGGAGGAATGTGGGAATCATCCACCATCTAGTAATCCCTTTAGTGTGATTCACACACACAAGACTGGGGATTCCTAGACAGGTATGAAAATATGCTGCTGTGTGTGTGGTGTGTCTGGGTATTTGCACTTATTTCTCTCCAGCTATAGGTGAAGGGAGACAGAAGGAGACAGAGACCTGTCCTGGAAAAAAACCTTTAGCCGTAGTCTGTGGGCAGCGAAAGCAAACAGTCTGTCTGGTGGAAAACCTACTCGTCTGCTCGATTACTATCGTCTGCACAGTAAACGTCTGATCTGGGAGAAGCTGGACAGACACCAGCATTAAAACAACTTCATAAAAAGTCTGACAAACTAATGAGTACACCTCATGTTGGAGTAAAAATAAAATAGCCCTGGTTTTATCTGCACTCCTACTCATCCGTCTGGAGGCTTTGCACAACACTACAGTGTAATGTCTGGTCGTCTGCCAGATATCTGGAGGCTCATACGACAGGAGGGAACATATTGGCTGGACTTCACCTCGTGTGTCTCAGGCAGAGAGCGACTGAAAATGTTCGTTCCTGAAATCTTGGCAGGATTTTGTGAGTAGATAGTGTGAAGGGTGTGGTTCGATGCCAGTATTGGAAATGCTCATACAGCAGAAAATACCAGGGTGAGAACACAGTCATCCTGTATGACATCATTAAAGTATATTGGTTGACCCCAGATAAAACATGCTCTTTTCTCAGAAATCCTTCCTTCTTCTTCGCCCACACCAAAACAGCAGTTGCGCTGTTCTGCCACCGAGAAGTACTCAGAGAACTCTGGGATATTTCTCAACCAGGGGCCGTAAAGGGGCCACACTTTACACAGAAGGGACAATTATACATCCAACATTCAGGCATAATTCCTCTTCTGTCAGACGCACATTTAAGTCATTGTTAGCTGAGCCAATCACACATCGTTGAATATATTTTTAAAGATTTCTTGTTCAAGCGCATTGTGTTCTTCAACATCTGTATGTACAGTACTGCCACAGCGTCTTCTCAGAGGAGGCAGATTCCAAACAGTCTTTACTCATTCGGCCAAATGCATGAATTAGTTTCACTGTAACGCATCATAATTCATTTTTTCTTCGTATAGCTCTGACCGCAGCTGCATGACATTTAAAACATATAATCATATTTTTCTTTCTTTTTCTTTTTTGGCAATTTTCAATTATGGTTTTAGTCGTCGTGTAATCCCCCAAAATGTGTCCCAGATTTAGCCTGCATGTAGAAAATATGTGGTTAGTCTCGGTTCCCTTTAGGAAACTGTCAACAATAAAAGCTGCTGTTGTTTGCTGAGGCAAGAATGAAATATCTCGGAGGTGGAATACAAAGAAAACAGTCATTTCAACGTCCAATCAGATTCTCATCCCGGCCGTAAAGTGAAGACACCCTCAAAACCATAAGTAACCTGACAGTGACATATGTGTGCATCATAACAACAACAGACAATGTGCAAAGATGTAATTGTCAATTATCATTTTTGTTACTTTTCAAGAAAACAGGCCAAAGATTTCACGGTCTGAAGTCCTCCAATGGGACAATTTACAGATTTTCTTACTTTTAAATTTGAATATTTCTGGGCTTTAAATAATAACACGAGTAGTTTTGCACTGTGGTGGTGGAGGATCAGTCTGTGCTTCATCTCCTCCACCTGCAGACACTCATCTGGCCTCTGAGTCTTTACACTGGAGTGAAAACATGAAGTTTCCACGTTCACACCGTCGGTGTGGGCTGAGTGACAGACAGCTGAGGAGGAACAGTGGAGAAATCCAGAGCTGAGGCTGTGCTGCTGAGGTCAGACCCAGTCACTGTGCACTCAGTCATCATTTTATGCTTTTAAATGACTCTTGATTAATCTGCTGATTGTTCTCAAGTCTACTTCACGGATCAATGTGAAAATGTGGTGGTTAAATCCAAGAGGAAACTTTAAATCTCTTATTTAGTTCGACTAAGAGTCCAAAACTCATATATTCTCAGTTTTCAGTCATGTGTGACGAAGTAAAGGAGCAAAACCAGAGAAAAGTTGAAGTTTTCAACGGTTTTACATGAAAATTGACTGAAACTATTCAATTCATCAGAAAACAGTGCAGAAAGTTTTATCTGTATGAGTCTGGACATTCTTAATGTTCAATAAGTCCTGAATGAACATTATGGAGCTTCATTAAGATGCAGTAGATAAAACTGGTGTGGAAATTAAACACACTAATGTTGACACTTTTACAGGATTTTTTTCAAACTATTTTTAGTTGTGTGGTGAAATGTTCAGCAAATCAACTCTGTTTCAGTTCAAATCGATCAAAAAGCCACTTTCACACATACATCGATAGAAAAAAAGAATTCAAGTGAACAACAGCACGTGGTTTGTCAGTATTTGGTGTTACAGAGGGGGGGTGCCGGTGTTCAGAGACAGATATGAGACTTTCAGAGATATTGAACGTACCCCAGTAATGATTTTACACCGGATGCTCCTGCTCTTGTCTCGTCCAGTGTTTGTGCTCTGACTCTCCAGCTCTGCTGTCCCGAATAAAGACGCTCCATGTTCATTCCCACTCTCTTCTCCCTTCGTTACCTCCATGCTGCTGCACAGGATGAAATGAGGAATGACCCCAGTCACAGTTTGAGGAAATGTGTGTGCATGTGTGTGTGTGTGTGTGTGTGAATGGATCTGGAGTGAAGTGAAGCACCGCCTCGTCTCTTCACGTCCCACAGCTTCACTGAGCTGCAGCAGAACTGATCCTGGACACAAGGAAGAGGAGGAGGCAACAAATACAACTTTTACTTTTTCTCTGGTTCTCATGTTTCCTGCAGACTTCAGCAGTGAGTCTGAGGTCTGAGGCCGGATTAAGGAACGATGTGTGTTTTATTTAAAATACACAGAGTCGCTCTGGATGTGGATGTTTGAGTCTCAGCAGTTTTAAACTCTCAGATATGTAACATAAGAACAAACAGCTGTTCAAGGACTTCAATACATTTACAACCAGACGTCTGCTGCCACCCTGTGGTCAGACTGCATTAGTGCAGAAGGACTTCTTGTACAATTTAAACTTTTGTCTGAATAACAGAATAACAGTGTTAGAGTTCAACACAGAGAGAAATCACAAAACACAACAAAAAAAATCCTAAAACTCAAAATATTGAAAACAAAATTGAATTAACAATAAATCACAAAACATAACGAAAAATCATAAAACACAACAATTAATTTAAAAAAATCACAAAACACAACAAAGAATCCATAAACTGTTTTCATGCATCATGTATTATGTGCTTCAGGATTCCACTTAGTCAACCTGCTGTTCTCAAACCATCCACAGGGTGGTGATGTTGCAACACGTAGAGTTGTTTTCATGTCACAAAAAGAAGAGTTATACAGATAATAAATATAATGTCATGATGTTGTTCCTCTTCCCTGACAGTTTGAACACGGACATATTTCAGCTGTGTGAGGTCCAGGTTTCCTCCGGATCCAGTGTCGTCCTGCGGTGTGATAATGGAGATCACATGTGGCTGGAACGCATGACCTTTGACCTCTGCCCTGCACAAATAAACAGCCCGGGGTTAACTCCTCTGTGTGCAGATGACTGTGTGTGTGTGTGTGTGTGTGTGTGTTTCCCTGTGCACGTGTGTGTGTATAGTGTGTGTGTACACACCAGATAATGAAGCTAAACCTGAATTTGTGTTGTCATTTTAGGAAACAAGAGTCGTCCTTGTGTGTCTGAGTGTCTTTTCTGTTTGTGCGTGCAGTGAGAGAGTGACAGAGAAAGTGTGTGTGTGTGTGTGTGTGTGTGTGTGTGTAAGTGTGTGTGTGTGTGTGTGTGTGTGTGCCCTGCTCAGTGAATTGCGTTTCTCTCGGCAGAGTGTCCCCCTACAGCTGTCCCCGTCCCAGCTGGACATCACAATATGACCTTTCATGTTGACCTGCACATGTAGCACTTACTGTCCTCATGTTCCTGCCTCTCTGGTTTTTGGTCCCTTTAAGGAACACGATGCTCCGAGCGCTCAGAACACCCAAAATCTTTTTCTTTGTAGCGTGTCGTTACGTCAAATGACACATTGAGATGAAATTCACAGAAATATTACACTTGAATCTTAATTTTTAATCTCCAAGACATATTGAACTTAAACTCAATAGGAATACAAATTTCTGTTCCAAATAAATACTATAATAATACTACAGTTCTCACATTGCAATGATCATAATAATTTATTTATTATGGCCACACATAATTTAATGTAAAGACGTAAAAAATAATATATAATATCGGCCGTTAAATTAATTAAAAATTAAATATTGGAAAAAACAATGACAATCATAACAAATACCAAAAATGTTTTCATTATACCTCAAAGCTGTTGTATTTAAAGTAGTAACCTCTTGAACTCCCTTTGCACTTTTCCTCTGAGTAGCTTCAAAGATGGAAGAGACCCCCCCACTGAATATATTATACTGCAACACTTCACTGTAAATACTATATAATCCAAACGTACAGTGACAATATGCAGTTTTCATAGTTGTTACTGGTGAATCTCTCTGGGTCGAAAAGATAAAGGAAACATTTGAAGGAATAATTCAGAACATCGAAGCTGAAGTTGAATATTGTAAAAGCATGTTTCAACAGATTGCGTTTGCGGCTGCTCTCCCACAATGCAGTGCATTATTTATTTCTTGTATACATCCAGAATGAAACCATTATCTATGATGTTCTCTTCAGCAAATCTAACTTTTCTCCTTCATCTGCAACAAGTGGTGAAAGCAACTAGTGCCGCGGCTATTTCCAGTTTTTCACTGTGAACCCGGTGCTTTAAAATCAATTAGACGTCACTGTTGGAACAATTCAAAGCCCCCGGCGACACTTTAAGCGAAGTGGAGTGGCTTGAACCCAGACTCATGTATAAAACATCAAGGGGAGAGCAGCGGTGAGGTGCGCTTGAAGAATTCATTCAGCTGACAGTTGTGGGCACGTCGTCCCCATGAGATTTACTGTAGGCGCTGGTAAATCTGCCATGAATTATTCCCCCCAACAGGACACAAACCTCAGCACAGTGTATTGAAAGCTTGTGTCTCCTCATACATACAGTATCTGTCAGCGACGGCCTGTCAGCAGAGCCCAGAGTCTGTGCATCCTCTGTTTGCTCTGTCGCTGAAATAATGAGCACGACTCTCAGCTCCTGATCTACACTCACACACAACTGGGACGTAAATGGTGCTGCAACCCACTGACTCAGGGTTATACATCTATAGACTGGTTTTTTTACTTCGCCTGAGGAGGTTGTGTTTTGTTTTTAAGCAAAGTTACACAAAATCAACATTACAGATGTTTATGAAACTCGGTGGAAGGATGTGGTTGAATCCAGAGCTGCAGGGTCCAGATGTGACACAACTGCTCTACCACCTCCGCCCAAAGACCTTGCTGGTCGGTTAGTTTGGTTTTAAGCAAGATTGCACAAAATCTATACTCGACAGATTTCTATGGAACTTGGTGGAAGGATGTGGTGTGGATCAGCGAAGACCCCATTTCACTTTGACACAGATCTAGATCAGGGGTGGATCCAGGACGTTGCAAAATAGGACATTTTTCAACATTTTCCCCGTTTTCACAGAGAATAATTAATGAATCTTCTGACATGTACTGAGCTCCCGGTAGATGGATTCACAGCACGTAACGGGATGTTTTTAATGTGACTTTTATATTTGTTATATTTGCAAAGATCAATACAAATCAGATGTTTATCTTTTATGTATATTTAAGAAATTGCTCTCCTGTAAAAGAGGAAAAAAGTCCCCACAATGCTTTTCTATTCACGCTTCATCAGCCTGTTCGGGAGCCTATGGGAGTGACTGCTGGTGCTCACAGTTCACAGCTCTGTGGTGTCATCCTGTCTCACTAATGGTGATGTGAATATGCTGAGGTGGCACGATGCTAAAAACAGACAAAGTGTGGACACGCTGTCAGAAGCTGCTCTTTTTCTGAGCTGGAGAAAAAGTTGCGTTTTCTGACACTGCACCAGATATATTTCTGAAAGTGTGTCTCAGTGCAGAGGACACTGCAGGACACCAGGTCCACACAGGGCAACGCGTCAGTGTGAGACTCCTGCAAACAGACAGTGGTGTGTCAACCTCCCTCCACGCGTACATGTATCTGGGTTGTGGTCAGTGTCTCCAGCTGCAGACATTTTCAGCCCAGGATGAGATTTTGTCGTACGGTGTGTCGACCCTGATCAGAGGTAACATGTCTGCTGTTTTTACACCAGTCACCCTGGATGTTCTGTTTCCCTGTAAAGCTCCTCTCCACCAGTGATTATCAGTGAAGTGTAGCCTCCACTGTATCCCTGTTGTTTTTATGTAAGAGAGAGAGAGAGAGAGAGAGAGAGAGATGAGAAGTTTTTCTATGAAGCCAAACACTGAACGTTTAGTTGGACCATTAAAAAAGAAGTGATGTGTGATGTGTTGCACTGATGCCACGAGAGAGAACAGGACATCAGTGCGATCAATCCAAGACGACAATCAAACCAACAAGTTTGACTCACTCTCAAGGTCCCTGTAGATATATACGTGTGTGTGTGTGTGTGTATATATATAAATATATATATGCGTGTGTGTGACTTTATAAAAAGCTGAACGTACACTATGACTGAGACACACTGAGAGAACACAGGTCAGGTCAACCTGCTACTGAACATCAGGACTTGTTGATTGTGACTCATACAGCTGAGTTTGTGATTAGGTGCCTGATTGAACGATGACAAATATCTTTTTTAATCTTTATCTTCTCTTTCCTGACGTCTGTTCTTCTTCTCCCTCTCTCTCAGTCAGCTCACACAGCTGAAATATGAAAAATTCAAGAAGAAGAATTGATGAATGATGACTAAATTTGTAATTGTTTTATCGTATTAATAGCTCATTGTCATTTGTTGCTGCTGGTAAAGTGAATGAATCATTTTGTGTTCAAGTGGTTGAGACGGATTTTTTTCAGCAGGATTTAAAGGTTGTTGCCATTACGCAGAGATCAGCTTAGTAAAATGGGGAAGTGATAACTGGCAGCGACAGAGCTGACTAAACACTTTACTCTGTAAATCAGCACAATGTTGGAAACAAACTGAACATTTAACTGCACTAACAACACAGATCTCTGTATTCACTTTAAATCCAGTTATAATAATGGAAAAACAATATACAAAGGGAAATATTAAGGGTGATGGCTCTGATTATCTTCGTCCAAATGTAAACGCTGAGGAGGACAGACAGACAGACAGACAGACAGAGACGCAGACAGACATACAGTCTTTTGTCTGGTCCATGGGAGGACGAGCTGGAAAGTGTCTCAGCACCATGTGTCGTCCGGCTGGACGTCGAGCTGCCGCAACGACCATCAGGGTTTAACTCTCAATCATCAACGATATTAAAGAACCACCATAGTTGAATAAACATATACTCAATTTAACATCCAGATGTCAAGTGTTAAGAGATTAAAGAATTAATGAATTAATATAAAAATATCAAAAACTGTCATTTATTTAAAACCTGTTAAAAGCTTTTACTTCACATGACATGAAAAGTGAGATTGGTAAGTGAAAATCACACTTTGTAAATTGTTTTGCCATCACTTGTATCTGATTGCATGATAAGCAGCTATTATAGTCCTTTCTAATCACCCGTGTCAGTTTGTCTTCCTCATCACTCCTGCAGAGCCGCTGGTGTCCTCACTCACTCATTATTTATAATCCCTGGTATTT